AAATTGTAAAAAAATTTGTATTTATAATTTAAATAGATATAGTAAAATAACGTAATTTTCATACACGAATCTACATCATATCACAATCATAATTCTATGCTCGCAAATATTTTATAGCAATATGATATTTATTGTTATTATTTGTATTTTTTATCAAGTTTTCTAAGTCTAAAACTTTTCTTCGCACGAAACAGTTATTATACAGATTATGATTTTGCGCAATTCTAATTATGAATATGTAAAGAGAGAGTCTTTGATATAGAGTACAAAATTGTTTTGTTAAAAAGAAAGAGAGACAGATAATGAAAGTAAGATAAACTTTATATATTTTTCCATTAAATTCTTTACATTTTCGGTAACATTTTTCGGTAATGTACTGCTTTATCGTAAATTAATTATCAGTCTTAACTAAAGATGAAAAATTTTTATTTATACATATATTTCGTTGATGCAACTTTTAAACTTTATTTATTATGAAATGATCTGAAACGCTACAGAGTTAAAAAATCAAAAAATGATAAGATATATATATATATAAAGAACGTTAGTCATATGTATTTATGTTCAATTTTATTATCACATTTTTACTCATATTTTTAAAAAAGTTATCTAAAATTTTTAAATATATCTTGCTACAGAATTTAATTATTTTCATTAATATTTCATTAATTGTTTTTATTGCAAAGTAATGTAATAAATTTCTAGCAGATTTTTTCTATCACACGCCAATAGTTTCTACTTATTCTTTGATATTATTTCTGGTATTATTTGTTTTCATTTTTGAAAAATGCTAAAAGTTTATTAAATTATTTTATAATAAAAAAAATTAATGAAATAAATTGAATTCTATGCACAAAGCGAGATATATTTAAAAATTTTAGATAACTTTTTTAAAAATATGAATAAAAATGTGATAATAAAATCAAACATAAGTACGTAAGATTAATGTTCTTAACGTATATAACATTACGCAACTATTTTACGAAGTATATACGGCTAAATTGAAATTAGTTTATTATCTGTGCGCATCGCTTACTTAATATATTACTTATAAAAAATTGAATTAATATCAACGAGTTCATACTGCCATGTAATAACACATGCATCTATATAAGCAGCGAAAATGATTACCTATATCTATACTGTTTCAAGAAATATGTAATATTTATCTCGTTACTGAAAACAAGCTTGTTCGAGAAAAAGCTTAGCGCATTTTCACATTGTACCATAATTTATCAAAAATTACCCGATATTTTTCTCGAATAAAGATTCATACACACATAATAGTCTTATTGGTTGTCAAATCCAGAAATTATTTATCTGCAAAAATATTCTACGAGTTCTTTATTCGTGCTGTGAACCGTAAATCCAAATATACATAAATTATTTAATTATAATTATATATTTATAATTTTCACAAATTTGAAGGGATTTTGTAACTATAAATGAGAATTCGTTAATACAATTATATGCAGAATATAAAATAGAAACATATCTTATTATCAACATTTATTGCTAAACTTTGAATTAATCTACATATAATATATGTGCGTACACACTACACATTGCTCATGTAATACATTGCATACGAGTATATACCGTCGTGCTTGTCTTCGTAGACATACAGTGATTCTATTATGGCTAACTGACGATGGTGTATATTTCATTTCGTTATTGGTGAAGGATAATAAATTTACTTAACTACCTTTCGTCGAGTTCGTGTACTTGGGTTTACGGTTTCACCGGTCGTTGTAAGCGCTATAGCGTGAGACACACATACCATTTTGTTACAGACTTTCCTGCATCGTACAAGAAACGCAATTCTGGCTAGATTATAAAAGTAAAAGAGATTAAACCGCAGTCGACAACATGCGAATCCTCTTAAAATTTATGATCATGAGAATACCGTGGAATTATATTCCTTGTTAAGATGACGAACGATGGATCAAATTATCGGCAAAGAAAATAATTCTCTTTATAATTTATCTTTAAACTTCTAAGCGTATATTTTTTCTTTAAGAAAATTGCAACATATAATTAATTTTAAAAAATCAAAATCTTTTAAGAAATATAAATTTTTGAAGTTTGTGTGTTGTGCAAGAGACATACAGTGAATATAATTAGTAACGACATACATTTGGTACGAAAAATAAAAAAGCGAGAATCTACAAGAAAAATTGTGAAATTAAATTCTTCAGTCACAATGTATTACCGCAATGGTGGATGCAATTTGTCAACTGAAAAAAACCATGTAAACGGGTGACTGATATAAACACGCGCGACAAATGCCTTTTTGTTAAAAAAAAAAGAACAGAAAATTCTGAAAAAAATATTTTTGCGTTGAAAAGCTTTACAATTGCCGCAGGGAGACTTAAAGGATTGTTAGAAATAAATTCTTTCGGATCTTTTTCAACGTTATATTGCAAACCTTATAAACAAGATCTGCATGTAAAACTAAAAAATATCTTTTTTCAAAAGCGTATGCATTATTATTTTTTGCGTGCAATTATTTAATGTCAGAATATGACAGAAATTCAAGATTTATATATTCTGTTGGATACATGAATTATTTATATGAATTGCATGTATTTTTTTCTTGAAAATCACTTATAATTAATATAAATATTTCTTCTTAAAACTCTATCGGCATGCACTTTTTTGTCTCTGTGATTTTATCTTCGGTAAAAAGTAAAGCGAGAAGCTCTTGGACAAAAAAACCTTGCAATCGTATCGCTGGGATTTATTCTCCAAGTGGGATAATCCCACTGGACCGCGCTAGACTGCATCTCGAACTGTCACTTCAATCGGATTTGCGTGAGTATATGTACGTGTGTGACTAATTACAACACTGCGCCTGTCGCATCGATTGGTGGCATTTTGTTCGCAACCACAGTCGACCTGGGTCGGTATATCACAGAAGGCAACGGACCAGTAAAATTTCATTTCATGCTTGTAGGGTGCGAAATGTGTGTGCGCGTGAATTCCGCACATACGAAAGAACGGATTATATATGTAATGTGGCGAAATTTTACCGGCGCATTTGCATCTGCGAGAGAGGCGAGGGAGATCGAATCCTTCGCTTTTCACAATAGCAAAGTATTGCATGGAGAAGCGTCTGTCGGGATTAATGCGATCCTGCGTTGCATATTCGTCGAAACTTGTTCGACAGTATAGATTAAGGATTTCGTATACGAAATAACAAGAATAATTTATTTAATATGTATTTTTAATTCTTCGTCATATTTTCAAGTTTTTTTTTAAATCGCTTTACAGGTGATTTTATTATTTACACCCAGATTGTATCTAAAATATTACGCATCAGTAACAAATATCGATTTAATTCACTTAAAGGAAAATAGATTATTGACACGTTAATTTTTTTATTTACGATAAATTTTACTAATATCTAAAAATGAGAATTAGAAATGTAGCAAAAAGAAATTATTTTCCAAACAAATATTACAAGAATATATCGCTGCATATATTGCATTTCTTAAACGATCAAAGCCATTTTATAACACCGAGTTTTTCTTTGTTTCATAATTTTCTAAAATATTTAAAAAATAGGAATAATCACGTATCCCGGAATAATAAATAGAATATTTCAAATACAATTACATTTTCCAAATAAATCCTACAAAAATAAATTCTACATATAAATTTTGCAAAAATAAACACACACAGATATATTATTTTAGTTTATTTCATTTTACATAAGAGCATTAAATATAATAAAATTTTGAAAAAGAAAATCTTTATGTAAACAACAATTTTTACCTATATTAAATAAAATTTTATTTGCTTACTTTATTTTATTACTATAGAACACTATGTAACTTATTAAATTTATCGATTTTTATAAATTATCTTTTATCGAAAACTTATTTTTTTTATTTTTGTAAATTTTATATTGACTAATTCAAATAATCGTAACAAAGTTTTGAAAAATTTAATAATTTTATTTTAAATATTTAAAAATCTCCCTCCCTCCCTCTCTCTCTCTCTCTTTCTTTCTCTTTTTATATCGAATATAGCGCGTGTCAGCTTTTTCTCTGCAGATAAATTTTTACGTGCATTGCACGAACGAATTTCATTGGACATTATGAGTTTCACTAGCGGAATATATGTCCACGCGCCGTCACGTTTGTGGGAGAAATATGCTCGATCGAAATACGGATTCCTCTCTTGCGTATAGGTACGTTTACAGCAAGAGAAAAGCGGCCACAGTGACCGTAAATCTGTAATTTTAGCACCAGCGATGCGTAACGAATGTATATGCGAGATCGCAAAAGACTATATTAACATAAACCACTAGCAGATAATAAATCAACAACATGATTATTACTGTAGGCTGATTTAACAAATAATTTTCCTGACTAAAGTTGATTTGCACGATATAACATTTTAAATCTGATCTTTATGAATTGATTAAAAAAAAGATATACATATGTACATTCACGCGTATATATTTTATAGTTTGTACTAATTTCATGATAATCGTATTTAAATCAGCCATATTATTGTATAAAATAATAAATAAATTATTTTCTTTTTATATAAAATTAAATTCTACGATATACGTATAATCAGGTGTTTTATAAAAATTATTAATAATATTATTAATAATAATTATTATTAATAATATTTTAACACATTACATGTATAAAAGATATAAAGTATTTTATGACTCAATATTAATGGATTATCATACAATTCGTCATTAAATAATTTCTATATTTCTTTAAATAATAATATTTTTAATAGCCAATATATTTTGAAATTTAAAGCCATTAATTAGTTGTTATCCTATATGCGATTAATATATAATACTATAATATTATTTTTCTATATGCAATATTATTATCTTGTAAATAATAGCTTTAATATATATAATATTTGACATTGTTTTTATGTAAAAATAATGAGATATGAAATCTCTATACTATCTCTGTAATAATCTCTATAATATTTTATACATAGTAGCGTTTTTTGATTCGCAGGTGACGAATTTCAATATTGTACATCTGGCCGCTCGTCCTAAGGGACACATAAACCAAAAGTAAGGATGGCCTTTCACTGGGATAAGCTCTCGCCAGCAGAATTTCAACAACTCCAGGACTTGGCAGCTTGTAAGTAACAAAAAAAGGAGATAGAGGAGGAAGTGCTGAAACGTGTAGAATAATGCGGATAAATCACGACGAAAAGTATGGTTTCTTTTTTCTTTCTCATTCTCACTTTCTCGTCTTCTCTTTCATTTGAATTTTTAACAAATCATAAATTCTAAAGCGTGTTACTAATATAGTTTAACAAACTTTGACTTATCTAATATCGACAAAATTTAATGCGGGCAACTTTATATGTTCTTTTTATTTTTACTTTAGACGTTATTACTAATTTGTGTGGAAAGAAATTGGAGAAGATTATATTTGTAATCAATTATCGATATCCTATATTAAATAATAACACACACACACAAGAATAAGAGAATATTCGAGAGATATAATGCGTACATTTTAAAATTTCAACATTCTTTAGTGTTTGCAAATTACTATACTATCTATCCTCAATTAAAGTAGAATTTTCATCCAAATTTTATTTCAGTTTGTTTCTAATATATTATTACTGTATTATAAGATTTTCATTATTTTTAATATCTTTTTCTATTTTTTAGACGACCGCACACATGATGTTGAGAATTTGTCTAATTATTTTTCTTTCGAATTGAATTTAATGTGTACAATAATTTTATAAATCATCGCGCAAAAATTTACGTCTCGAATACAGATGAATTTTTTGTGATGCGTTCTTTAAAAATTTCCTTTTGGTGGAAATAGTAGCGCGCACCATTGAGTGATTATCGTCGAATGAATCAAATTATCGCGATAGACAACGAAGTTATTTGAATGATGAAAGACGGATAATGATATTATCCGCTATCGTCAAAGTGCAAACTAATACGCGAGGAAATACGTTACAATAAAAGGATTTTGGCACTTTACCAGAACGTTTTGGAACGTAATTACATATTCGTTCCTAAATGGGAAAATTTAATGAATGTGATAATAATGAAAAATAATGATCGGTTTTTTAGAGTGAGTAAATCTCCTTTCGCATTTGATTGCCTTAAGTTACATCCAGGTTTAGTATGCCCTCGTAGTGAATATTTTCAAGTTCCATTGTTACCAAAAGAGCGTATCTTTAATTATAGATTGAGCACTTGGCTCAATTAAATATAACTAAAATAAATTGAAAGTTTGTATTTCGTTTAATTGCGCAGAATAAAAGCCAACTATTAGCAACTTGTTGAATCATTAAAAATAGTTCGAGATTTTTGACAGAATACAAATATTGGCAAGTTGGAAATAAATATCGAATAATAGTTTATATTTTATTTCTCCTGTTATTATAAAACGTTATTATTTACCTTGGAACCGCATATTTTATCTTGGAAAAATGTAAGAACTATTTATAAAACAATTTAAATTAAATTAATTAAAAATATAAAAATTATACGCAATTCGTAACTTGCGATAGTTTTCTAGAAATTTCGCGGATATCTCTATGAATATTTCTTTAGATGAAAATTATTGCGAGAAATCTCGAGAAATTCTCCGCAGATAAAAATAAAGAATTAAAACAAACATGTGTTTAATATTATCTGTTATATAATCTGATATAAGCTGATGTAGAGTCGAACATTGAAATTCATATCATTCCATTGACTACCGTGTATTTCCATACGATTTACTCGACGACAGCAAACATCTCGGATTTTCCGCGTATAACCCTTCGATCGCGAGCTTGACGATGTATAGGTGTCTCGTCGTCTAGTATTTTACAACTGGCTGATGGAGATACGAGGCTATAGTAACAGCCAACACATTTCTCGAGGAGTAACACGTGCGACGTTCACGCAAGAAAGCACTAATTCATCGTACGAACGTTGCACTTTGTTTCACGAAATAAATTGCCGTCATTCGTCGACAAATTTACTGGTATTACTGTAATGCGGCTATTATTTAGATAATCTTTTATTTGAAATACGCACGATAAAAGAATGCCGGAAAAAATTCGTGCTCGTACTTGCGAAAAAGAATTTAGATTATAAAATGATGAATTAAAATAAAATAATTAATTAAGATAAAATTCTGTGAGGAATTCATGGAAATATGAAAGTAACATCGCAAAGATAATCTATTAAAAAGCATTTGAAGTAAAAAACTTCACACAAACACGTAAGTACGTAAGAGAATTTTTAAACACTTGTATATAAATAAAACCATGGAATAATAGAAGTTTAAAAAATAAAAAAATTAATTATACTTCACGTAAATTAATTATACTAACCATTATACTTAATCTTTGGAATTAAAATAATAATTTTTCACTCACCGGTCGATGCACAACAGCGAAGTTGACTATTACATGTAAACTTGACTATGTAAACATTGATCTGTAACATACAAATATAGATCCAAATTATAACAATGCCCAAAATAAATAATATTAAAAAAAATTGTAATTATATGCATCGAATTTTACATTACATGCGTATAATAATATATTTTTAATAGAATATTTATATAAATTTACAAATCTAAAGGAAAGCGTTGTGAATGTTTTCCACTTTTTACGATAATATGCAACATACAGTAAATCTTTCCATCTAATAAAGTCTTTTATTTTAATTTTTTAACTTAATCTTATATTTCATATTATTATTAAATAATATTTTTATCGATTAATATAAAAAAAATATGCTATTATTTAGATTGATTTAAATTTTGATCATTTCTTTGATGTCTAACAATTGTCATTTTCTTCCAATATCATAGTATAAGGCTCAAATAAATACAACGAATTATCGAATCGTTAATTATTTTTCAGATTCCACACGGAAACTTCAGGATGTTTTGACTGAATTTTGCGGAAGTAATACGACGCCGAGTGGTGTGCCAAAATATCATCCAGACGGAGTGAGTTATAAAGATTAATATTATTTATTTATTTTAGTCTTAATTGAGATAATATATATATTTCAAATTAAGGAATTTTTTATAAAAGAGAATATTCTATATCCTTCTGCAGAAAAGATATCATTTTAAAGATTTATAAGCGAAGGAAAAAAGGTCCAATGTGTACGTATCACGAAAAGGATGAAAAGGATGAAAATATTTTAAGATGATATCGTAATTCTTTTTTAATCAATGCAACCGCGGCATTTTATTAAGTAAATGTTTTCATATAAAATATACATTTAATTCCGTAGAAATTTCCGCCAGTTTTCTGTGTAAATCGATAGTTGTAAAAGAACTCATCGTTGAACACGATTTCGTTGTAGTCTCTCGTCTCAGGTGTATTTTAGCCTTTCTACGAAATGAAATTGAACGATCGGTGTGCTCGAAAGTGCACTTGAGACAAATATCTACTTACGGTGTACGTAAACTGTTTAAGCAAGTTTTCACACACTGAATACAATATTTTATGGGAAAGAGCGGCAAATATATCTAAAGAAATTTATTATAAATAATTAATTCATTTTGTTTATATCTACATCAAGAATGTTTTTTGTAATTTTAAAAAATGAATTTTGCTCTAGTTGCTCTCGATAATAAATTTTTCATCATCACATCGAAACAAGAGATATTCTTTCGGGAAAGCTTTTTTAATGTTTTTATATAATGAATGCTTCATCTATGTACGAGTGTGAAGTGAAACTAGATCACTCATATACGAGCATATAATTATTTTGAATGAAAGATATATATATATATATATATATATATATATATATATATATATGGAAACAATATGCGACAGTATACAACTGCAGACAATGAATAAGTATTTGTTCCACAAACTAACCCTGCTGGGCTATGACAATATATTTCGTAATGAAATATTTAAAAAAAATTATAAACCAGAAGCAGAAATCAAAAATTGTTTAACTCCTCATTAAAGCAAATATATATTTGCCATCATATGATTGTTAACTTAACAAATTTGGTTTCTATATTAATTAATCGTAGAAATATTCTAAAGTTTCTAATTTTTTTCTCTCTGATTTTGTTTCCTTGAATAATTTTTAAATAGATGAAGCAGTTTTTTGTCAGCGTATCATATATAGTATTTTTGTTAACATAAAAAAATATGTTAAAACTATATAAAATGTGAAATCGTTATCGAAGCGTTATCCACAGCGAAAAATAATTTCCAGTTATCGTAAGAATTTCTATTAATTATTCAAAAAGAAGTGAATTATTCAAAAAAGTGAAAGGTAAAAATAGTGAAATTATTATTGAAGTTGACGTAATGGCAGATAATATTTCCTCTCTTATGAACAGGTCAGTCAATGCATCAGACATAGAAATCGCATTGTCCTGACAAATGAGTATACAATAAGCTCGTGATAATGATCCTTTATAGACTTTACGGACTTGTTTCGTAATGGTATTCTCTGGTCAAAACAAAAAACCGATATTATTCTATTTCTGATATAATTCCATTTCCGTTACTCTTGTACGATCTTTTTTCATCCACTTTATCTAATTCTCCTACTTAGATTCCTGTATATTATTCCATTAAGTTATTGGAGTCTTGGAAACAAAAATATCTCGATGTAATTATATAGAGAAGAGAATGGATTTTATTTACAAATTATTATTTATTACGTATAATTATTAAATTTAGTAAACTGTAGATTGTTTATGATTTATTTAATTAAATCACTATCAATCTACAAAGAATAAAGAAAAAATCTCTTTCAATAATTGAAATCCTAAACCGTTCGTTTATTTAAAAACGTAAAAAGTAAGTCGCAAGTATCGTCAACGATAATTATCACGAATTTGCAATTTCACAAATTTCCATAGCTTTTTTAATGTAAACGATTATTAATGTGACTATATAAATCTACTTTTCGAGAGTTTTGCGACATAGTATAAAATCGTGCTTTTCAATTTTGATATCTTATGCTATTTCTTAACAGTTGTTTTATTCTTGCGTCATCATGTGACATATTGCCGGAACAATACGGCTATAATATGAGTGCAAATGTAAACATGCGGGAGTACATTTATTCCCTCCGAGGATATTAACTCCGCGACTGAAACTGATCGCTAAAGTTGGCTTACAATAATGCCTTTTTTTATAATGCTTTAAAAAATATTTAGCGTAATATTTACTATTTTTATTTGTTATTTACACATCTTTTATCACAATGTTGATTAGATTTTTCTTCTGCATATCTTTTTTGTGAATAATAAAACAATTTTTTGCACACATTTTATACCAAATCTTATGCAAAATAACACTCTTGTCATAAATATAAAAATGGAGTCGTTAATGCAATATATAAGTTTCAAAGAAATCACAATAATTTTATTTTTAATATTATGTTAAATAAAGCATGTTGTGTTTTAATATTTCCTTCTTTGATAAAAAGGCAATTATTATATACATTACGACAAAAAGTAAAACATACCTGTATGCGTGTATGTGTACATGTGCATGTATGTAATATATAATGGTGTAAACATTTACTTCCAACTAAATTTCTGAGTTCTAATAAAATTGAATCTACGTCCAAGTTACAACCAACAAACCTGACTTATGACCTGACGGTAGTAATTTCATGGCGCGCTTCAAATTGGATCCTTTTGAGGAGCGATCTAAATTACTTTCTTCTATATCGCCTGCATCTTTCCGCAAATTCCGACCGCATGACACGCTTTCAGATGACAAGTAAATTTACTGCTTCACTATAACCGGCGACATAATCCACCGCTTCTCTCGTGTAATATTCTCATATGAGCGACTTGTCGGAATTTCATGTATTAGCTTTCATATATAATTGTTTTGGAGTGCCAATAAAAGATTAGATTCTTTTATAAGATCCGTAAGAAAAAAAGATATTTAAATTTTATATTAGACACTTGTCTAAAGTTTCTCCTTTCTTAAATTGAGGAAAATAATTTATATCATTCATAACGTCTCTTATCATGCTGTGATATGATGTGTCACAGAAATTTGCAGCTCAATGGAACTTGTTTGTTGGAAAGCACAGAAATTGCATTATTCTCACCAAGAGTGTTATAACTCGTTTACTTATTGTATACATGGTAACAGTTAAAATCCATTAACGTCGAATAATTGTTACGTAAAAGATTCCGCGAACTCCACTCAATAAATAGTGCTTATTTTCACTCAAAGTCGAGCACCACTCGACATCAATTTATCGTAAATATGTACAATTGCAAAAGCAAATTACACAGTATATAAATATTGTCGCGGTTCTCGCATGTGCTTATAGAGGCAAATTTAATTACATAACAAAATTTTTAAGTATCTTTCTTCTTTTAGAATATATAAGAATTTTTTTTGTATGACATTTAATTTTTATTTATAATATGATTTTTATGACACTTTTATTTTGCACTTTTAATTTTTTATTATGTAAGAGAAAGAAGAGAAAAATATTTTGCGTGACAATTTTATGTAATTTTATGGATCTGGGAGAACTGCTATTTGAAAATTATTAATTTCAATCATTAATTTAAATCATTAATTTAAATCATTAAATCACTTCCATTTTCGCGGTATCAGCTCGAAACATATTATAGTTGGCAAAATCACTGAAATGGTATCGATCTTATTGCGTCAACATTTACAACGAGAATCCTTTATGCACGAGAATGCAAATTTGGTAATCCCTTCGGGGGGGATAACAATCGATATCGAACGCTAAGAGGTTACACCGGGATCAAGAGGTTCGGAAATTCCCTCGTGGACATGATCTTTCGTGAAGCGTAACCGATGTGTCGAGAACTCATAATTGGACATTCCATCCAGGGACAGCTGTGCGTCAACGGTTGGTAAGAGGCCACATTCAACCCTGTGACACGAAACGCGTGTGCTCCAGTATTCGATTCCCTCAATTATAGTTAGCCGAGCCTGTGATTTGCCGAGAAATGAGATTTCTCGACATAAATGAATTGAATTCTCTGAAAATCGCAAGTTCTGAGATTATCGCTTAACTGAAGTCCTCGCGTTTCTAATCTATTCAATTTTATCACGTTAAAAGACAAGTTCTTCTTTATGATATTAAGAGAGTTCTATAAATATCTAATTAAGATTTGCCTGCTTTTATTCAAATGATTGTAATTTGTAAGGAGAAAGAAATTTTGTATCAAATTTATCAATATAAAATGTGTAATATTATATTTTAATATTATATTTTTTATTAAGATATATTGTAATATATTTTTTTTATTAAAAAATTGTTCATAATATTTTAATCTAAAGCACAGTATTAACGAAATTTAAAAGAAATTTTAAAAAATAAAATTAAAAAACATCGAAAACATAATAGCTGAAAATTTCGATAAATGTAGGACATATTCGATATTCATAGAATTACAAAATAAAATTCGTTATTGTATCGAGGATTTCAAATCGAGTATAAAAGCAAATTTATTATTCCGTCCATAAACCAAGTTAAAGAGAATCGATTTATTTTTCTCTACGGTAGGTATTTCTACCATAAATACATATATTTGTTTCATTGCAAAATCTCTCTCTTGCAAAATCTACGAGTAAAATTAATTCGGTTAGCGCTCAATCGCTTAAATCGAGCATATCATCGTGTGTTTGAAACGGCGAATTAACTAAATATGTTTGGCAGGACCATCCTCTAATTGAAATCTGACGCGAAATAGGTAGCCGGGACGGGTCATTACGAGGAATCACTATCCTAATACAGGTTTCCGTGCTCAAGTCGATTCACTCGATATCTCATTGTGCAGAAAATAGTATCATTATGAAGCACGAAAACACATCATCTCTTTTTCTTAATTCTACCTTTCTCTCTTTTTTTATTCTTTTTTTTAAATGTTCTTATCTCTATCATTATATATTTAATATTTTCTCTTTTATCATTAATTGCAATGTATCAATATACACATTAAATAACAAGAGA